TCTATTATGTTTTTAGTTTAAACACTTCTTACATCATTGTGAATTTCAAAATTAGACAATTTAGACAATGAACACTTAATTTTAAAATTTTAAACTAACGACTTAATAATTAAACATTGACCCCACATTTTATTTTACACACACATATATATGTCCCCATTAAGTCACATCTTGGCTCCGTCCTTGCATATCACGTGTCACATTATTATTGGTTAGTATTCTTTTGGTAAATCGAGAATAATGATAATTTAGGTACCATTTTTGACTAAAAAAAACTTTAAGGATCAATTTGGGAATCAAGGTATATTAGGGGCCAATTTACTTATATGCATTTCAATATGAATTGTTAACGATGTCAACTTTTTGGACCAATTAATAACATTATAAGCAAATTATCAAATCATATCAAGCTAAAGGACAATAACTAAATTCTAAATTGAGCATAGTATAAAGGACTAGAATAAGAATTTTCATAACCCTTTTTTCAGATAGTAAAATGGTGCATTATTTTTGGTCACAGGTATCAAGCAGATGGTTTATACCCTTTGCATATGTATTCATATCCAATAACCTTTACAGCATAGTGGAGGCTCTATTCCATGGACTTACATTCAAAGCTTGGTGGAACTCGCAAAGAATGTGGATGATTCGAAGAACAACATCCTTCTTCTTTGGCTTCATCGATTGCATAGTGAGACAACTCGGATTGTCTCAGACAACGTTTAAGATCACGGCCAAGGTCGTCACCGACGATGCCTCAATGAGATACCGGCAAGAGATGATGGATTTCGGGAGCACATCCATCATGTTACTGTTATATCAACATTGGCAATGGTGAACATGTTGAGTTTAGTGGGTGTTGCAGTTAAGATGTTTTTGTGGGGTTGGGATAGGAGGAAGTTGACGTCTCAGGTTGTGCTTTGTGGACTTATGGTTAGTCTCAATGCACCAGTGTACGAAGCACTGTTCTCTCGCAAGGATAAGGGCAGGATACCGGCTTCTGTCATGTTCAAAGCTCTAGTTTTAGCTTCGTTGGCTTGTTTTGTGCCTTTAAAGTAGATTCATTCATGTAGAGTGTGCAATATATTATTGTCCTTGTACTGTATGTACCTATTTTCATCTCATTACGAAGAAAAACTATTGGATGTCATTTAACTAAATAAATATATTCTCATAAATTAATCTTTCATAATAATCTAGTAATGATTTTTTAGTAATTATAGAAACTTAAAAAGAAATTTCAAACAAACTAATAAAGAGAGAGAAATTAACATAAGGGTCAAAACATTAGGCCCAACCTGGTTGAAAAAAGATAGGGTAAAATATATAAATGATCTCTCGACTATAAGACGTTATGTTGTTGAATCTTTTGATTATTAAAGAATAATCATTCGATTATTCATATGTTTTGGATATGTCTTTTTAGTTAAAAGTTTTACGGTGTTATTTTGTGGATCGAATCTTCCTCTATATTATACAATCGAGTCAATGCTTAAAACATTACGTTATTGAGCCAATACTTTAAAGCAACGACGATATTTATAAGCATCACTAAAATATGATTTTATCAAACAATAATCAATTTTTAACTGAAAAAATGAGTTTAAACATATGGATATTTAAGTGATTATTTGTAACTTTTAATAATTAGAGGATTGATAAAAGTATTTCTCTATAGTTGAGGATCATTTGTGTAGTTTACCGAAACTGATATTATTTAAATGAGACACAGGTGATTATAACCACGTTGAAGACAGACCGTGTTGGACTTTCTTTCTCCTCTCTGCTACTGCTGGTCTTAAAAAAACTGATCTTTCACAAATCTAATCTTTCACATCTTTTGTACTCTCCCAGAAAAACTGAGAGAAAAAGAAAATTAAAGGTAACTTAAATTTATTTTCAATTAAAATTCATAGCTTTATTATTATTTTAATTCGTAGCTTCGAATTGTTTTCATATTTTTTCCTGCATTTTTCCTGCACTAAATAGTTTCGAATTGGTTTTAATCTTTATCAGAAACTTGAAGGGGGGAAAATGAGAGAACTGGTGGGAATTATTTGGGTTTTTGATTCCATTACTTGTTTTTGTGGAAAGATTTAAGAAAACTTTGCTAGTTGGTACTGTTTATAATTATTATCATGTTAGGTTTTGTGAGGTATTACATTGGTTGGCATGAATCTGTTGGAATTGGAAGAATTGGAATCCAATTCTACCATTTTTTTTATGTTGGTTAAGTTTTTTAAAGAATTTGAATCCTTCAACTTTACTTTCCATCAAATAAGAGAAAATGAATTCCATCCAAAAATGGATGAAATTAAATTTTTATTGGATGGAATTAAAATTTGATCATACTATCTTCATTAATATTTGGTAATTTATTCATATATTGAATAAAATATTTTTTTATTATTCGGGTCGGTCGAGTTTCTAATTCATATATTCGGATCGAGTCAATTTTTTTAAGTGTGATATTCGGGTCGGATCAGGTCGAGTTCAGGTTTAGGGTGAAAAATACCCGACCTAAAAATATATATAATTTTACCTTATATAATTAGGAATAATTACAATAATATCCTTCTATATATAATTTTTTTCAATTAAGTCACTGTTTTTATTGAATAAAAATATTTTTTTATTATTTCGGGTCGAGTGAAATTTTATTTTGTTCGGGTCGGGTCGGGTTTTTTAAGTATGATATTCGAGTTGAGTCGGGTCGGGTTTTTTAAGTGTGATATTCGGGTCGGGTCGGATTTTTTTAAGCGTGATATTCGGATCAGGTCGGATTCGAGTTTAGGGTAAAAAAACCAAACACGACCCGAAAATATATAATTTTACCTATATTTAGGAATAATACAATAATACCCCTCTATATATAATTTTTTCAATTAAATCAATGTTTTTATGAATAAAAATATTTTTTTTATTTCATGTCGGGTCGGGTTTCTAATTCATATATGAATAAAAATAGCTTTTGGTATATTTTTGTAACTAATTAACATAATCCGATTGGAATGTATCGAAATATTGCTCTATCTTTTGATAACTTACATATTTTAATTGCGATAATTTTAACTTATGATGTTTATTAGCATGATTTTTATAATTTATTAAAATGAATAATCAATCATAAAATGAAAATTTAATATTTTTATTTTTTTAATATATTACTACATATAAGTTGTAAAACAAATTAAAATAAAGCAAAAAAGCAAGAAGGACAATTCTGTCATTTTACATTACTGAATCAAATTCATCTGACATGTCTGCGAACCAAACAGAATATGAAATTGGATTCCAATTCCATTTGCTGCCAAAAAAAATATAGAATTGAATCCAATTCCTGACAGATTTCAATTCTTTCACAAATTCCAATTCCCTCATAAACATTCCAGCGAATCAAACTTAGTCTTTAGTATTTGATTTGTATAATTTGATATATTCATTTTTTGTCAGTTTCATAACTAGGATTATTTGACTTTTTAATTGCAGATGAAAGTTGGATCTCTTGAATTTGTGGCTGTTATATTGCTATCAATCTTGTGTATCCCGAATCCCGCTTTTGGAATTAGAGTCGTCATTAAGTCCGATTCGTCTTGGCATAACAGTCATAAGGGTGTTGATCTTGTGGTAAGCTTCCTCGCCTCCTTCATACTTCGTGTACTTGTATTTCGATTGCTAGCATTTGTTCAGTTATTGCATATTCTTATTTAGGGCATTGTGAAGACCTAGTTTATAGTGTTTGGAATTGGTGATCTTATTAATCTAAATTGTATCCGACTGCTCTATGAACTCAGTGTCTCAAGAGTCTTATCGAACTCGCTACCTTTTGCAATTGTTAGGTGAAGGACCTCCGGTGATCAGATTCAAGATTATCGCGACAAGATAAGTGAAATTCGAGTTTGTTGTCATCAAAAAGGAGTCCACGCTTCTGCTTCAGTAATAAATCTCCTTATTATGAAACGGTTGACTTCGATGTACATGAAAGTCATTTTTCGTACTATGATCAGCATGCAAAGGATGGTCAGTCGTATCTTATTTGCTTTATGTTTCTCTTCCCCTGGTGAAAGCTTTAATAAGAAGTCACTAACTGTTGTTCTCATGTGCTTATCTGCAGAGCATTTGGACCCTTTGTTAGAACAAATATCAAAGTTAGAGGAAGCTCTTATAACATCCAGTTCGAACAGCATTGGTTAGATGCTCAGACAGAACGTCAGAAAATAGGTATTCACCATTTCACTTTTAATTACAGACAATTGTGTATGATGTTCTATCATTGATGCCTTTGGAACTTATATGTCTGCTAGTAACCTTCAGGCTCATAGATACCTGAAATATTTTCCTCGAAGCAGTTTGACACAATTGCTAGATTCAATTGCGAATTACGGTGCTACACTACGTTTATTAGATTGTTTAGAACTGTATCTACGCATAACACTCTCATTAATCCTTTCTAGTTAATTAATTTTCCTCTGATGATTTGGCTGACTGTAAATGCAGTAAACGACGCAATGAGTATAACAGCCGTTCACAAGGCCTTATGCGAATCCGCAGCACTAGTTGGAGCTAGTGTTCTGCAAGTTTACCTACTCCGACTCCTTTTTGAACGAAAGCTTGGAATGTCACAGGTTTAATTCTAGCACTGAACTGCAATGTTTATTGTTACAGGATACTACAAACTTTTGTCAACTCAGGCACTTGATATATACAGTGATCTTGAATTCACTGTCTGTTACGGCTGAGAATTTAGATTTTAACATGATTTACCTGAAAACATATTTTTCTTTTGCATGTTATAAACTGCCATCAAAATACAACCATAATCCGGAAACATGTTCTGCATGTTATAAACTGCCATTGAAATACATTTCCAATAAAAAGATGAAAATGAGAAGATAACAAAGACAAGTTTTCTAAGACACACCGATCATGTGTAACATGATTACATGAAGTTATGTATCACAGAAAAGCTCCATAGCTTCGTAACACAAAGACAAAGGCAGAATAAAATAACACAGTTTGTCATAACAATCCACCAAATCAATATACATAGATACAGTAAGTGTTTGTCTTGTTTACTTCTTCCCCCCAGAATTAGATCATACACCACAAAAAAGGAAATCTAGAAGGCCAAGCCCTAGAGATCCTATCTTGTTCAGGAATATATGGTGGGGCTTTAACATACTTGTGGAAGTAGTCTTATGTGAGTAGGGTTTCGTCAAGATTCCGCAGCTGGGACTTGAACGCAGCAAAACCATTTTTTCTAAAAAAAATAGCATCATATACGGAGGGAAATGTCAACTAGCAACAGTTTATAGCAATCATTTCAAATGGAACATTCAAGTAAACGATTATTTGATGTCAAAACAAGTCATTAGATATTTACATACAGGTTGGGTTTTGCCAGGTTCTGCTCCAGGCTTAGCATGAGGATCAGCCTTTCTGGTGACTCGGGTGGCCACCTGTTTTCTTCTCGTCCCTTGCCTTGTTAAAGATCACAGTAAATCCCTCGGCTGAGGCAGGATCGTTGACATCCCATTCACCAAATTTTGGCAATGGCTGACCCTTTTCATATTGGCCAAAGTGAAATGCCCCATTAAGACCCTTATAAACAAAGGGTAAGCAAATAGACAAAACATGAAGGTAACCTGGTAAAATTAAAGCATGTCCAAGGTTAACCGTGTAACTAATAGCTACAACATATCAATTACCCATAATAACAAACCGGCCATAATTGCTGGTCATAAGAGTTTTTCTGACAAGCATACGGATACTTCGAATCTCAAAATAAAAAAAATAAAAAATCCACTCGATAATCAAGGAAATGTCTTGCAGAAAAATAACTCAAGATTAATGGTTCTTAAACTGTAAAAAAAGGGGTAAACCGAAAAGAGGATATGAATCCACTCTTGATTGTTTCTCAAGCTGCCAAGGAACTTATTAGTGCAAGACATAAGATATTTACATTTTCATCGTCATTACAACACTTTTGAGTGATTGAACATACCATCAAATCTTTTCTATTCTGAGCTAGCGACCATCAATAGCCAACTCTGATTAGAATGCAACACATTCAATTGAAGATAAGATCACAGATACAATCTAAACTGCAACTGACTGAAACAGCTAGATGAAAGCTGCTAGGTACCATAAGGGTATACATAACTTTGGCTGGAACTTGGTAAATTCCATTTATTAACTGCAAAATTAATTGGCATGCTTTGCAATATTAAGGGCAAACTTGGGTGTCCTATCCTGCAGGCTTGACATCACAGAGCATTATTTCTTAGAGAAAATCGTCTCAGTGACCAAAAAAAATAATATACGATTTTAACCAACTTTTTTTGGATTTGCCAAAATGACCAACAAAATCGCAACGCGAAATAAAAATCGCAACGCGATCCCCAGAATCGCAAATCAGTTTCCAAAATCGCAACGCGATTCTTGAAAATCGCGATGCGATAGTACAAATTCGCATTGCGATTTTCAATAATCGCAACGCGAATATGAAAATCGCAACGCGAACACATAAATCGCAACGCGTATCCGTAAATCGCAACGTGTATCCGTAAAATCGCAACGCGTATGGGTAAATCGCAATGCGTATCCGTATATCGCAACGCGTATCCGTAAATCGCAACGATAATACATAAAATCGCAACGCGTATCCGTAAATCGCAACGCGATATTTAAAGCGCCATTATAATCGCTACGCGTATTTTATTTTCAAATTACAAAAAGAATATTAAGACAAAATCCCGTAATCGCAACTCATAACCTAAAACCTAAAATCACAACTCAGTCCCATCTCCATCTCTCACTCTCTACGGCGAAGAAATCCGTCCCCATCTCCGAAGATTTCCGTCCCCATCTCCGGCGAAATCCCACCTAAAATCACAACTCAGTCCCATCTCCATCTCTCACTCTCTACGGCGAAGAAATCCGTCCCCATCTCCGAAGATTTCGTCCCCATCTCCGGCGAAATCCCTCACAACCATTCCGGTCAGAAATCCCTCACAATATTCAGAAATGGAAAATCAACCTCCGAGGGTTAGTTTTTTTAATTATTTTTATTTGAAATGTTTGCATTATTGTAGGTTTTTCATATGAAACTGATGATAAGTTTACTGGTCATTCAATAATAGATTAAGCATTCACTTAGATTTCATTTCGCGTTAAGATTCTCTCGTTGCGATTTCATTTCGCGTTGCTATTCTCTCGTTGCGATTTTCAAGTAGTATTGTCTTTGTCTTTGTTCTGTCTTTTGGTTGAAGTAATGCAATCCATTCAAGTTTCAATTTGCGAAAGAGTCGCAACGAGATAAAGAAAATCGCAACGAGAGAATGACTGTCGCAACGAGAGAATCGCAACGCGAAATGAAAATCGCAACGAGAGAATCGCAACGCGAAACCAAAATCGCATTGCGATTTTCATTCGCGTTGCGATTCTCTCGTTGCGATTTTCATTTCGCGTTGCGATTCTCGTTGCGATTTTCATTTCGCGTTGCGATTCTCTCGTTTGCGATTGTCATCTCGCGTTGCGATTCTCTCGTTGCGATTTTCATTTCAACCAAAAGACAAAACAGTGTTGCAAATTTTAGTTTCAAGAATAAACTACTACTTTTATGTTTATTGTTTTGGTATATCTCACAGTGTAGTTTTGGTATATCTAACTTGGTATGTTTATTGTTTTTGTAGAAATTTTTTTCGGCTCAATTGACCTTGAGAAATAAAGTCAGCCTGGCCACTACAATTGCAAAGAAGCTTTCACCTGCTCAAAGACAATTGTTTGAGGAAACCTGCTTCGGGCCATGGCTGAGAGTACAGCATCCGGGTGGAGATGCTAATTTGACCCATTTGTGGCTTCAGACCATGACATCAAATCTACCCGACAGTATACAACGTGGTGAGGAAGAGATATGGTTTCATTTTCCACCAGCGTATACTTGCTTTGGGCGGAAGGAGTTCTGCTTAATCACTGGTCTACGATTCGGACACGATGATAGGCCGGTACACTCGTCATATCGCCCGCCCATCATGGTTATCCGGGTTTTTCGGATGAGTCAATGGAGAAGCCGAACCTACATGTCGACGACCTGAAGAAATTATTTAATAAGAAAGCTGGTTTCACTCGGATGGAAGACGTCGATGTTGTCCGAGTATGCCTTCTACTACTTGTGTATGCCGGCTTTTTAGGCAGAGAGGCAGACAACCTATTCATCGGGAGCTAATAATATTGGTAGAGGACCTGAATGCATGGAATCTGTTCCGTGGGGTTCGTATATATGGAAAGCTACCTGGACTAAGTTGTCGTCTGCCTTGATGACCGCAAAAGTTTGCGGGGCGATGGGTCCAAATACACTTTGTCAGGCTTTGTTTGGGCCTTTAAGGTAAGAATTTCTATATAATTTTCTAAAATTATAATTAATTATTTAACAATTACTAATTTGTTATTATATTGTTTGTAGATTTGGATATTCGAGGCTTTCCCCAGCATGCGTACATATGCAATAAAACGTCAAATGATATTCCCAGGGCTTTCCTGGAAGAGGAAAACTCTGTTGGATTGGGAAGACTTAATACCATATGCCACAATAAATAATGTAAGTTAACACAAATACTTTCATATAATATAAACAAGTTATTAATAGTAGACGTTTAACTTTGTTTGAGTTTATATTTTAGGAGGCCAACATTCCATTACAAAGACTGTCACCCACGGAGGAAGAGTTGCCACTGATTGGTGGCAAGCTAGTCAGAGTTTTTTTGATGGCACGGATGATGAGCAGCATCCACTTCCTCCAATTCGAGAGCTCTTCTCCACCATACCTCATGATAGGCGACCGGCAAAGATGCCACGACTCCTATCTCCCTGTTCTCCAACTCCACCTCAACGGATGAGTCAAGGGAGTTACGTGATGAGGTCAATGCCTTGCGTGAGGAGATCGGTACTCTACGCGATAACGATGGTGCATGGCGTGTGGAGGTGTCAACTTTACGTGGTGAGGTTGCCGCTCTAACGTGAGATGATAGTATCGTTGCAGAATGAGGTTCATACTCTACGCAACGAGGTAAGTTTAAGATTTTCCATATTTAACTTAATGATAAATTTACTCGTAATTTCACTTAGATTAGCCATTTCACTTAGATTGCTTAGTAAATTTATTCGGTTGCTGCCAATTCTGCTAAACTGTATTCTTTAACACTGTGAAATAGTATTTGTCTTTGTTTTGTCTTTTGGTTGAAAGTAAATTTATTCGGTTGCTGCCAATTTGCTAAACTGTGTATTCTTTAACACTGTGAATAGTATTTGTCTTTGTTTTGTCTTTTGGTTGAAAGTAAATTTGTTCGGTTGCTGCCAATTCTGCTAAACTGTGTATCTTTAACACTGTGAAATATATTTGTCTTGTTTTGTCTTTTGGTTGAAAGTAAATTTGTTCGGTTGCTGCCAATTCTGCTAAAACTGTGTATTCTTTAACACTGTGAAATATATTGTCTTTGTTTTGTCTTTTGGTTGAAAGTAATTTGTTCGGTTGCTGCCAATTCTGCTAAACTGTGTATTCTTTAACACTGTGAATAGTATTGTCTTTGTTTTGTCTTTTGGTTGAAAGTAATTTATCCATTCAAGTTTCAATTTGCAGAAGAAGAAATAGTTTACTTTCGCAACACGAAACTTAAAATCGCAACGCGAAACCAAAATCGCAACGCGAAATGAAAATCGCAACGACAGAATCGCAACGCGAAACCAAAATCGCAACGACAAGATCGCAACGCGAAACCAAAATCGCATTGCGATTTTCATTTCGCATTGCGATTTTCATTTCGCATTGCGATTTCCATTTCGCATTGCGATTTCCATTTCGCATTGCGATTTTCATTTCGCATTGCGATTCTCTCGTTGCGATTTTCATTTCGCATTGCGATTTTCATTTCGCATTGCGATTCTCTCGTTGCGATTTTCATTTCCGCATTGCGATTTTCATGTTGGGATTTTCATTTCGCATTGCGATTCTCTCGTTGCGATTTTCATTTCCGCATTGCGATTTTCATGTTGCGATTTTCATTTCCGCATTGCGATTTTCATGTTGGGATTTTCATTTCGCGTTGCGATTGTATTTTCCGTAGTGCGATAGTCAAATGCATGCCTAATAGTGATAACAACTGAATAACAAGAGTTGGTTAAGTCAAAATGGTTGGCCTGAGTCATTAATTCAACTGAAAATGTTAAAAGTTCACACATAAAATCCACATAATACAACGTTTGCATTTAAAAATCACCTAAGTTAACAGTCTCAAAAGGTGAAGCCAATCGTGATTGGGATTTTAAAGATGAGTGCCTTTTGCTTGACACCATATGAGCTTTGGATTTTGATGAGGATCCATATTTTGGTAGAGGAAAAGATGATTTGATGGCACTGGTGATCCACAGTCAACCTTGTATGACCACTTTCCTTGCACCGACTACATGTCGATCTCTTCTTCTCTTCACCCTTAGACGGTATACGATCGTGACTTTTTGGTCGGCCAGGTAGCCTTCTGTCCATGGCTGGTGGCAAAACTGTTTGTAAGTCATCTGGTATGTCCCACTCAGAAGGATGTGGAATAGGGTAGACAATCTCGGCATAAGTCTGTCGATAAACTTCTGTAGTGTAGCAATCCATAGCGTATGCGCTTGAATCATCTTGGTTTAAATGAAGAGCAACTTTTATAACATGGCCACATGGATAACCAGATGTTTGCCATTTCATACAACTACACGTCTTTGCATTTAGATCGACTAGCCCATTTAAGTTATTATCCAGTACTTGAAACAAAGTGTTTGAACATGGTTCAACTCTCCATGACGTTGACTTCACAACACGTTTTCGTTATCTTTTTTTCAGTCCATGGTGTAACACGATGTTCCAATGTTCCTGTAAATTTAAATAAACAATACTTAGTAAAATATATAAATATGATAAGTTACGAATTCAAAGATAATACCTGCATGGTTTCTTTTCTTGTAGTACCACGTTGAATAGAGGCTCGAAAAAACTCCATTAACATAGTAAATGGTAATTTCCGGGAATGACGACTTAGAGCGTTGATTGATTCTGCACTATTAGACGTCATGAAACCATATCTTGCTCCAAGTTGATGTACTCTTGACCATTTCAACCCGACTCTTCTAGTGTTTGAGCACACTGAGGCAAAACACGTCTTAAACATTTATATGCTTATTGAAATCCACTTCCCGATAAGCTTTTACAGCCTTCCAGTATGTCCATTTGTGCTTTTTTATACCAGCAGACCTTGATTTTAGATTTCTATACAAATGAACACCACAAAGTCCATGAAAAGCATCTGGGAACACCTTCTAACAGCGTTGTCAATTGAGTTTGCCCTATCGGATATGATTGTCAGATTGCTATAGGACCTATGCAATCCCTAAGATGCCCCATAAACCATGTCCATGAATCAGAGGTTTCAGATTTGCCAACCCCGTAAGCTATTGGCAATATCCCATTGTTAGCATCCATGGCTACTGCTAATAAGTTTACTCCAAGGTATCGACCTTTCAAATGTGCTCCGTCAACTATAATAACTGGGCGCATGCAAGTAATAAACGAACGAATCTACAAAATAATATACACAAGAAATATAATCATTTAAATGTGAAATGCATGTAACTAACAAAATGAGTCAACAATTATATTGATTTACTAACCGTAGCACCATGGCGATAAACAGCAACTCAAAGCGTCCATCTCTATCTGTTTTGATATGAGTTACCGACCCAGGATTTTTCAGCTTTAAATTGTGACAATAAGCCGGCAGTTGGGCAAACGATGCTTCTGGCGACCCCCTCAACAATTCCAAGGCATAACATTTGGCTCTCCAAGCTTGAGAATATGATATACTAATCTTGAACCGAGCATTCATGTCAGTCATAATTTCATGTCCCCGATATACCCTGCCATTCAAAAACATTAACTCAGCCAGAAAACCACCCAACACCTTTTTGTTTGCCTGTCTATGGTGAGGAAAAACTTGGGTTCTTGAACATGTATGTTTATCAATAAAAGTCCTAACTTGAAACATTTTGCAATCTTTTATTCTCTTTGCAATCATACGCCACGTACATTTTTTGTCAATCATACACCTTGTTTCGAAACGATCTTTGCTTGATTTGTTAACTTTTAGTTGATAGCCATCTTCCACACATTTTGTATACAAAGCTATCTTCAAGTCTTCCTTTGTATCAAACAATCATCTTTCTTGACACGAATAACTTTTGTGTAACAATCAACTGCTTTCTTTGCCAACTCTTCTTCCGGTAACTGAAGTAATTCTGGCATATTCCAGTTATACTCCCGTGCATTTTCTTTTCTTCTTCGGGGACTTTTTCTTCTTCTTTTCTTCTTCAGGATTATATGAATTACAGAATGGATGTTCAACATGTTCATTCACAGTCGTAACTTCCTCCTCATTATCATCAACAACATCTTCCTCGGCAACGGGTGTTTCATCATCAAAATTCGGGTATTGACCAATATTAAAATCATTACACACATGGTCTGTTTCTTCTTCTGAAACATCATCAAAATCCGTGTATTGACCAATATCAAAGTCCGGATATTGACCAAGACCAAATTTCGAATACTGACTAGTACTTACAATTTTTCTGTTGGCTCATCATCGTCTAACTGGTCAATACGAAAACCGGAATTTGGTGCTGAAAGTTGATTGGGATTTGGATTAGAGAAAGGTTGTGGGTTTTGAGAAAAACTTAGTTGATTACTACCCGCTACTGACCCAACAATACTACTTCTAGGTTCAACAACATACAATGTAACATCATCTTGTGAAACACTAATGTAAGCAATGAATCGTTCAACATCTTCATTGTCGGTTAACAAATAAACTTTACCATTTCTCTGATAAGATAGCCTAAATCCACTTAGGGGCTCTAAATTCAATTTATTTGAAACACGTAGCATTAGAGTTTCATAAGTTAACTTTTGTAAAGACAATTTTAGTTGAAGATTCATGGGTAAAGGCATATATTGTAAAACACCATGAACATTATCCCATGACCCTCCAAAACACAAATCTATCCAAACATGATCAGATGATTTCATGGTTGTAAATTAATTTACTAAACAGACGAGCTGCGAAACTAAAACCTGTTGCCGGATTGGGAAGGATGTCGTTGGATATAGGAACGGATGTCGCCGGAGAGTGATAGATGGAGATGGAATGAGTTGCGATTTAGGGATTTAGTTTATGATTTCAGTGTTATATACCCAAAATTTCAGTGTTGTGATTTACAGATTCTCGTTGCGATTTACGGATTATCGTTGCGATTTACAGATTCTCGTTGCGATTTACGGATTATCGTTGCGATTTACGGATACGCGTTGCGATTTACGGATTATCGTTGCGATTTACGGATACGCGTTGCGATTTACGTTTACGGATACGCGTTGCGATTTACGGATACGCATTGCGATTTACGGATACGCGTTGCGATTTACGGATACACGTTGCGATTTACGGATACGCGTTGCGATTTTATGTATTATCGTTGCGATTTACGGATACGCGTTGCGATATACGGATACGCATTGCGATTTACCCATACGCGTTGCGATTTTACGGATACACGTTGCGATTTACGGATACGCGTTGCGATTTATGTGTTCGCGTTGCGATTTTCATATTCGCGTTGCGATTATTGAAAATCGCAATGCGAATTTGTACTATCGCATCGCGATTTTCAAGAATCGCGTTGCGATTTTGGAAACTGATTTGCGATTCTGGGGATCGCGTTGCGATTTTTATTTCGCGTTGCGATTTTGTTGGTCATTTTGGCAAATCCAAAAAAAGTTGGTTAAAATCGTATATTATAACTTTTTTTTGGTCACTGAGGCGATTTTCTCTATTTCTTATTGTATTTTTGGTGTGGAACTCATCTTTTACATGTTTAATTAAAAAAAAATGCGACTTCAGCAGAACTTAGATCACATCGGTGTGGCCAAAAAGGCATGTTAAAGCTTGCGTTATCAAAAATCTAAATAACAGTGTAGTTTAAATTAACTGAACAGTAACACTGGTTATTGCTCTAGAGAAAGCACTTTGACAACCCTGGTAATCACAATTTTTTAATAGGATATTCGACGAGAACACAAATGGTTCGTGAAATAACTATTCTAAACTACGGTACAATCACTGACATAACATTTTTATTCAAGGGAGAAGTTAAGTGGGTCGATCGATGAAAGGAAGCCATGCCAAACATAGCAACAGTATCAATTACACAGTTCAAACAGAAGCCTCCAAAAAGAGCAATAATTGAGTATAAATCACAAAGATCAGTCATGGAGATGAAAAATGAACACATAAAATCATATGCATTATTGATATAAAACCACAACCAGATAACATGGAACAATCACATTCTTGAAAAGATACATTGAAAAGCTTAACTTATCCAGCAACAAGACAAAAGGGAATCTGCAAAAAGTTGAACATGATGTTACATAAAGTATCAAAATAATAGCAAGTCATGCAAATCCAAGCATAATTTAGTAATACCCTTCAGAATATATGTTGCCATAAATCCCATAAAGAACTCTAATTACTTAGCGCTGGTTAATTTAATGTGAAAAGATTGACACAAAAGATTCATCTACCTCAGAATATTAACGAATTTATGGATTATGACGTTCACAATCAAGCTGCCATTTGCAGATTAGACATCCAATAAAACATAAGTAACAATACATGTCCTCTAAACAAAAACATAAATCATGTCATTACATAAGTAAATAGCTCAAATGGTATACAATTCATCACTTAAACAAAACAAAAACAAAAACATAAAAAAAATACAAAAAAAAGGAGCTGCAAAACACATCAAAGAAAGCAGTTCCAAAAAGATGAAAAGGGTAAATTTAAAGCTCTGATCATCAGCAACAAAAAAGCTCTTTCTTACTTAAAACTCAGAATCGAAAACCCAAAAAGTATACGAATCGAAACAACCCAAAACTAAAAAACTACATAAAAAACAGAAAAAATAAATCACATAACATAACAAAACTAAACCTTTCTATTAATGAATTCAAACAGAAATGAAGAAGACAACAAAAGTCCCAAAAATTGCATACCCACATGAATTCTTGAGATAAACTTTTCTAGCGAAGAAAGAGAGGAAGATATATATAGAGAGAGAGAGAAAGGAGAGAATTTTTTTTGAGAGGAAAATGTGAAGCAAGAGATAAAAAGAAGGGGAGAAGCTTGGAATCGGGATAAACGGCGTTAGTTTGGACGGTTAATGGAAAAAGGAAGGGGGGAACCGAGTCGTTTGGCTCTTTACGGAACTGGTGACGTGATTATTATATCATAGCCCAATAGATCATATACCTCAATTGTCCTACGGTTTTGAACTAATAGCTCTTTTCACAATTTGATGCTCATATCATGAGCGAAAATAGTCCACAAAGGTTTGCTTTGTTGGGATGTACAACTACATCATAATCGGAATTATCCGTCATCAGATAGTATTTAACCTAAGTCGAGACATCTCTTTGAATTTCAACTATCCGGCTCGAAGAGCCCTTCCTCACCTTCTTCCTTGCATCCATTATGAATTGTCCAATGAAGATCATGGCATTGCAGAAAGGATTCAAGGTTAAGAAACATTTAGTAGAAGTTGTAGCCTTACACGTTACACCATACCGGTTAGTGACCGCGCTCACTGGAAAATCTATATTCTTCAAGTGTATGCATCATTTGATGAGCTGAAACCGTTTCCAGGCGTACAGAGAGTCCAACGGTATGAACGGCGAGGGACAAACCTAAACCATTAAGTTCTGTTTAGTTGGTAAGAATTGCATTGAACCAGATGGTAAATAGATAGCAGATCAATCCAAAAACAGGAACTTTTACTCTGTTTTAAAATGGGTAAATTTAGCTCATGTGCGGAAAAGGGAGAAGAGACTTACACAGTCTTGCATCTGATGTATCTTCATGGGTTTGCAGTGCTATTTCGATGCAGACGTAAATCAATGTTTACGCATGCTTTCTGGGTCCATGATTCCGAATAGGAAGGGAAACGAATTCGACCTGAGAAAACTTAAAAGGTATAAGCTGAAAAGGATGAAATAATAGTCCATAACTGATCAAAAGTTGAGGCTTGGTGCAAACCAAATCAGAATGCCATGACCGGTTGAGAAGCAAAAGTTCCATTTGAACCTCATCAATAAGTAGATGAGCAGAAACTTGGTCTATAAGTTTTGAGAAAAAAAGGTATAAGCTGAAAGGGAAATAATAGCCATAGATCAAAAGTTGAGGCTTGTGCAAACCAAATCAGAATGCCATGCCGGTTGAGAAGCAAAAGTTCCATTTGAACCTCATCAATAAGTAGATGAGCAGAAACTTGGTCTATAAGTTTTGGACTTTACGGATTTTCTTTGACGCTATTTCCTCTTATTCTGTTTCAAGTACTTCAACCTTTTCTTGGCGATTATCAACGCCTTCTGAAACTGCTCTGTACTGCCATCCCAATCACAAGATATGATTCCCCTCCCCTTTAAGTCCTTTAAAAGTGCATCACCAGTAGATGGGTTACTCCCGTCGGTGAGAAGGGCATCAACTAGGACAGTATAAGTAGTGGCATTGGGCAACAAACCATTTTGTTTCATCTCTCGATATAGTTCAAAAGCAGCAGTTATGTCCCCGTCGGCACAAAGGCCCGAAATGATGACATTGTAAGCAATAACATCAAACTTCAGACCACAAAGCTCCATTTTACTCAGCTTTAAAGCATCCGCAACGTTGCTTTCTTTGCAGTGTTGGATATATGAACTGCAAAACTACACCGTTAACACTGACTGAAAATATAAACAGTAATTAAGAAGAACAGATTCGTAAACCGTGTCGTGGTAAGAACCACTGCCTTAGAAACGAATTCGCCTCGATGTGGTAATCGCTGCAGTAGGCGGACCGTCCCCCGAGGTTAACACGGTCGCTCCAAATTCCGTACACCCGAAACCGGAGTGGACTGCTGGTGGTATTGTACTTCTGATCGGAAAGCACTCAGAGAGAACTCACGGAGAGAACTTTAGAAAACACTTTGTAAGTGAATTGTAAATGTTTTGGAGTGAGTTGAGAAGCTGAATATAGCTCTATTTATAGGCTAGAAATAGGGTTAAAATCGTCCATAAAATTTCAGGATTAAACCTCTTATTTGTAACAGCTGAAACGTCTAGATGAACCTGACTCAGAAATAGTCCAGGTTCATTGTATAATTATTCAGCTGTTATAACTCCCGAAATTATATCATGTAACCCCTGGAATTAAATCAAATAACTCCTGTAACTCCTGATATTAACAGCTTGTCTCCTCTGTACAAAGCTGTAAATCAGTCCAGGTACATCTTAACGTTTCTGATTTAATTTAGGAATAAACTGTTTAATTTCTGATAAAAAATAATAATTCAGCTGTTATTTGAAATTCAAACAGTCCTCAGCAGCCTATAAATATCAGTTGATATCTTTCACATTTTCCATTTGTTTCTTTCAAAGAGAAATTCCTCAAGAATTTTCTCTAAAAAGATAGTATCCGCGCGGACGTGTCGAAGACACGTATTACCACGACCACGACCACGACCACGACCACGACCACGACCACGACCTCGACCTCGACCTCGACCACGACCACGACCACGACCACGACCACGAGCCGAGCCGAGCCGTGCCGAGCCGAGACGAGACGAGACGGACGGACGGCGGCGGCGGTGCGCGAGAGCCCCCCTTGTTCTCTATCACTCAACAAGGAAGTGGAATGTCAAGCCTTAAATACCATTCCCAATAGTGTTTCCAACACTATGTGGGATTGAGCATTACCAACATTCCCCCACTAATGCGAAAGAAATCTTCTGAAACTCGAAAACAAGCTTTCCAGAAGAGTAATAGCGAGATTAGTTGCTTAAGCACTAGTGAACATATCTGGAACTAGTACATAGTGATGATGAATCATTCTCTTAGATAAGTGAAACTAGTCTGGAACTTTCTAAGATCAAGGTAAACTCATAACACACAACTAACCCCTTCATCCACCTGAGTCCTCGATGTGTAAGATATATATATACAAACGTATATATTTGGCC